TTTTTGCTCCAAATGCCTTGAGGGCAGGTCTGGCTGGCTTGAGTTGTAGGGATCGAATCACAGCAACATGAGCCTGACTGCTTTGTTGAAGCAGCCACCTAAAGAACTGAGCTAAGGGGCAGGCCCCCCCAAAGACAATTTCTATCATCTTTCAAAAGTATAGTCTACTATGACAAAAAACTTGTAATATGTGATGTTATATATGCTTAATTCTTAAAACAATTTTAGTCAAATAAACGTGAATAGGTTAAATGACAATAATGTTCACTGTGATAGGTAGAATCATTTAATTAATCTTTAACTTTTAAATTTTCCTTGTATCCACTCCATCTGTGTTCATTATTGTCTTTTTTTGTAACTCAGAAGGAAAAATGTCCTTTTCATCTTTAGAGTAATTGAGCTAACAGGGCCCTTAAATTCAGCCCTTCTTAAATTCTTTCTCCATTTAGGAACCTTGGTATTACCTTTTTCATGTGTCTTGAACTATTGTTTTTCCTTTTTCAAAACCACGAATAAAAATCTTTCGGGCCAGGGAGATAGCTCAGTAGAATAAGTGCATGCCTGGCAAGTACAAGGTCCTGAGTTCAATCCCTGGTACTGAAAAAAAAAAGTCCTTTCATCTTGTTATCAGTTCATTCTACTGTCTTATATTATTTCTTTTCTCATGTGCAAGTTCCAAAGAAATCACATGGAGTTTCTATTTTCCAATGTTTTTTATATTATAAATTTTTAAATTTGATTTTTTTGCTGAAATTGCACCCTTACAGCTCACAAATGATTAACTGGTCAAGAAATATACTTCCTTTGCATTGACAGTTGATTATCCTTTCTTCTTGAGATTTTCCTCCTTGGTTTGTGGGAGGCTCAACTACCATTTCTTCAGTGAACTACTATTCCCTTCCAAAGCCATTCATGGTTTTCCCCTCCGAACACCTGAACCTTGTCCTTTTCCTTGGCAATCTTGTTCAGCTACTCTTTTTTTTTTTTTTTTTTTTTATGTATTTAGTACAGGGTTTACAGGGTCTTACTACACAGATCAGACTCATTGTGATCCTCCTGTTTTTCAGCCTCCCAAGCACTAGGATTACAGGCACGTATCACCATGTCTAGTCTCATTCACCATTTTATCAAGCTCTGGGGGCATGGCCGGTGGCAGGCCAGGAATCGACCCCTTCGTCTGCCTAAGCAGGCGCTTTAATCCACTCAGCTATCTGGCAGGCCCCAGCTACTCTTAAAAAATCATTTGTGAGGGGCTGGGGAGGTGGCTCAGTGGAATAAGTGCTTCCCTGGCAAGCACAAGGGCCTGAGTTCAAACCCCGGTTCCACCAAAAAAAAAAAAAAAAAATCATTTGTGTGCGTGATCTCCAAGGTTGTACTCAACTAGTATCTTGTTAACTCCTAACCTGAACTTTCAAATGCTAACAGGACACAGCTACCTCCAGACAGTTCTCCTCTGGCCTCTCATGTACATGTGCTAATTCATCAGCTCCTATGTAAAATCTCTTTTTCTGATATTCTTAGTACTCTTTCAACCCTTTCTCAGCCAGCCAAGACTAAGGACTTTGAATCTTCTTTCCATTAACTTCCTTCCCAAAACTTAAAAACAATCAGAGTCTCTTCTATTATCTTCAGAAGCACATTTGTCTGTCCCAGTGGTGGCAAACCTGTGGCACACGTGCCACAGTGGGCTGTTTGTGTCACTGGCAGCTCTAAAGGGTTCGCCATCCTGATTCCCATTATTACCACCTGCACTCCGTCCCTACATAACCTAATCCCTTCTTAACTGGTGCCCTTAGTCTCTCCCCAGTCTCATTTGTCCTGCTTGATGTTGCCAGAGGATTTCTCCAAAGGACAGCTCTGGTTCTGACTCTTCCCTGATCAAAATCTCTGAATGGTTTTATTATCTTTAGAATAAATCTAGACTTCACTTGGTATTCAAAGCTTTATAGTTTAGGTCTTAAATATGTACTTTTTAGTCTCGCTATATCTTAAATTAAGTTTCTGTATTAGCATAGTGCTTAAGAGTATGGACTGGGGAGCCTCACAGCTAAACTTGAATCCTTGTCCTTTGTTGTTAGCTGTGTGAGTCTGGGCAAGCTTCTTAAATCTCAGGGCCTTAGTTTCCTCATCTGTCTTATGGGAATAAGAACACTAGAAGTGTAGGTAAAATTAAAATGAAAAGTGCTTATTTTATTTTTTATTTTTAAAAAAATTTTATTTACGTGCGTGTGTGTGTGTGTGTGTGTGTGTGGCCAACTCAGCCCACCAGGGGGCGGGGCTGGCTGGCATGTGGTGCTGGGGGACTGAACTGCGGTCCCTGTGCTTTGTTAAGCTTGTTCTAAGTAGGTGTTTTAGACCACTGAGCCATCTCACCAGCCCATGAAAAGTGTTTAGAATAGTGCCTGGCATATAGTTAAAAACTTCACATAATGCATTTCATTGAATGAATATTTTCTGAAGCCCACACATGTGTATGTATGCCAGGAACTCTTCTAAGGATTTGGGGTAATGTCAATGAACAAAATAAACAAAAGTCCCTGCTTCTGTGAAGTACCTTCTCTAATGATGGTTGCTAAAACTGCATCATACAGGGCTTGTGAGATAGCTCAGCAGACCAAGTGCCTGCTTAGGCAAGAGCAGGGACCAGGGTTCAATCCCCGGCACCACATACTGTGCTGGCCCTGCCCCCAAGACTGGGTGTGGTGGTGCACACCTATAATTCCAGCGCTGGGAAGGCTGAAAACAGGAGGATCATTAAGAGTCTGAGCTGCACAGTGAGAACCTGTACCAAATACATAAAAATAAATAAAACTGCATAATTCTCAGCTGGGTGTGGTGGCGTGTTCCTGTGATCCCAGCCCTCAGGGGCAAGAGCAATGCTGTAAATTCAAGGTCAGCCTGGGCTACACAGTGAACTTGAACTGCATAGTAAGACTTGTTGCAAAAAACCAAAATTAAAATAATTTGCATAATTCTCTAATTTTGTAATATCCTTCTTCCTATACCACCATCTTAATTCTTTTGTTTGTTTTTGAGACAGGGTCTTGCTATATAGTTCAGGCAGGACTTTAGCTCACTTTGTAGCCCAGGCTAGCCTCAAAATTGAAGCGATCCTCTGACCTCAGCCTGCTGAGTGCTGCAATTACAGACATTTGCTACCACACCTGGCACTCATCATCTTAGTTCTACCCTTCCCTCAAGTCCCACTAAAACACCATCTTATGCTTTGAAATTTTATCCTATAGAAGTTCTAATACGAACCTCTCCATCCCTTGAAGTTTGTATTATGGCATTTATAATAATCTGTATATTCTTAGGTTTTATCATATACATAGGTAGTATTTCAGTGACTTATACTCAGAGTAGATAGAGTACATCAGATCTCTCTCTGCTGCATTTTTAGTGTTCAGCAAAGATTTCTCCCACTTTTCATTTCCTTTTAAACACAGTAGAAGAAAAGCTTCATGCACTCACCTGGAAATTTCTGGTTCATTAATTATTTTCTTTTTCATTAAAAAAACTGTAGAGGGGCTGGGGAGGTGGCTTAGTAGAATAAGCACTTCCCTGGCAAGCGCAAGAGCCTGAGTTCAATCCCCAGTTCCACCAAAAAAACAAAATCAAAAACAAAAACACAAACCTGTAGATATTTAAAATTTGATACTATGGATCTAAAATAGGAATCAGTTGTTTTCTAAATCAAATATCTTTCCTCTAAATATGCCCACCATTCTTCATCTGCAACCGGAAAGACCAGCCTAACTGCTGGTTCTTTTACTTTCTAATACATTTATCACAATGCTGTACATCCAGATTCTATTTCTCCTAAATACTATGGTAAATTATAGTTACATAACACCATAGCTTAGCTCTCCCTCTCACCTTTTAACCTTGAGAAGATTTTTTTTTGGACTGGCTCAGGCTGCCTTAAGGGTGGGTCTGGTACAGCACGTAGAGCTGGGGATCAAACTGTGGACCCTGCGCCTGACTTGGTTTGCCCAAGCAGGCACTTAAACAACTGAGCTAACCCACAAGCCCCCCTTTTAACCTTGATAGACTAGCTTAACTATTATTTTTACCCAAGGACAGCTCTGAAAGAACAGCATGAAAATCCTCTCTCTCCAATAACAAGGCCAACACAATAAATTTTTAAATAATGATCAAGGATTTTTTTATTCATTAAGTTTCAGTATCATTACAGAAAATGTATGGTACAGAGTTGTTCAACATTATTTTCTCTTTGCTCTTGATTTCCACATGAATGCTGGTAACACTAATATCTGTACAAGATCAGTCTTTGATTTTATTTTATTTTTTCTGTACAATTTTAAATGTATTGGTTAAAAAGGCTGTCAGCACTTAAGGAAGCATTTTCCCCCAGTTTGTTTGTTCAAATAAAAGGTACCCATTTACTGCCCAAGAGTACTGTGCCATGAGGTTATGAGGGCGAGGGGCACCCTGACTCTGCAGGGGCTGCTCCCGAGGCCTGCAGGGCCTCTTCCATCTCTCTCCTTCAGGCACGGTCACATAAACACGAGATATATGTAAAGAACAAGCAAAAGCTCTCCATAAAGCAGTTATGAAGCATACTAAGAAGGGAAATCCAAGTGTTGCCTATACTAGTATAAATAAGCAGACAGCCTTGTTTAAGAGCATAAGTAGTTGTATTTTAAAGATGAGAAAAACACAAGTTCTGCAGGCACCTACTGCTGTCTACTAAAAGCTATCGCTATCAGACCTAGCATTGAACACACAAAGCAATTTGCAAGAAAGGAAAAATTTGCTTCGATATAATCAGAATAGAGTTGTCTGTTAAGATTTATTCTTAGGTTTTCTTTTCTTTAAAAGGTATTTAAATTCATTTGAAATATAGTTCAAGATGTTGACTATACAGATCAACTTTTATCCAAATCAGAAAAACTAGCTGTACCGTTGCATATTACAGTCAATGATATGTGGACATGCATCAAAGCTTTCTCCTGCTAGCGACCATCATAGCCGTCCGATGACCATGACATCCACCACCTCGCCCTTGTGGAGCTCCACGTACTGCTCTGTCTTTGGAGGTAGCATCAACAATCCATTGGCACTGCGCATGCTCATCAGACGACTGCTCATCTGATTCCCTGGAAAGAAACACTCTTATTACAGCAGCATACACATTATCCTGTACATGATTGAAGCCCTTGGGGACAATCAACACAAGAACAGCAGGACTGCAAGAGAGATGATGGAGTTCCTGGTGTCGTTCTTAGGGAGCTTGTCCTACACTTTTGCAATTTAAGAATAAACATCAGAAATTCTTGTTTAAAGGAGTAAAATCAGGATCCTATAGCATCGCTCAAAGTGGCATATCACCTCTTACTTCAGCCTGAAGTGTCATGTGCCTGGAAGGAGAGGCTTAAAAGCTATACTAGGAGAATAATGGCTGCACCTGCCACTGCTTCACGAAGTTCCAGAGAAGGCACTGGTCACTTAACCACCTGATTTGACCCTCCCAAGTTTAGAAGGTCTTAGATAATCTGCTTGGAGTCCTGCTAGACAGGTTGGTGGTCAGCTTCATGCAGGTCTCTTGGATGGCAAAGCTCTTTAGTCACTATGTTAGTTGATGTCTGCAGTTGACAGAACCTTGTTTAATGGCTAATGTGGAGTTGCTTCAAAGGTTAGGCAAAAAATATGACTAGAGAAGGTAGGAGTAAATGTTTAAAGCCAGAGCAGTGGTGGAGGTTGTGCAGAGAACACAGTGGGCTTGGAAAAAAATTTTTTTTTTTTTTTTTTTAACCAGGGATTGAACTCAGGCCTTTGCACTTGCCAGGCAAGCGCTTATTCTACTGAGCTATCTCCCTGGCCCCTGGAACATGTTCTTGACATTCTATTCTTTCCATTGTGTTCACCTTATGTTTTTAGCCCACAAAGTCTAAGGGTTGAGATGCTCTGGTGAAAAGAGAAAAGAAGGCTAAGTCGCCACTTACACACAGGTAGAGAAGGCGCAGGTGCAAAAGCATCCTTTGTAGGGGTTCTGAGGACAGAAGCCCCCTGTCCGTATGAAGTTGCTCTCTTAGCTTCAGAACTCTAAATTTATCAAAATTGACTTTTCTGTCTTAAACTTTACCAATATCTACATATGGCATAATAAAGTCTAGAAGGCTCATGTTGTAAATTAAACTTTTTCCTCACATTTCAGAGTGCAGTAGCCCTGAGGGCCTGCTTTTCTTAAAATGAAAGTTATGCTCAAAACATTGCTTGAACAATCACAATCTTATGTAATTCTAAATTTGTACTTCAGATGCTTACCTAGAAAAGCATGGATCAATGAAATAACCACTTGTTTTTACTCTTCCTATTATGTTATACTATTTAGAAATACTTTAGCTCATTTAGTCTTTCAAAAAGAAGAAAATATGCAACAATTACCAAACTGGTATAAACAGAAGGCTTTTTCAGAGTGAGTGAACCTGAAAACGTGAAGGACTAACCTGTACTCTGGGCCCATGGCAGTGGCTCCTGGTGGTGCCAAGTCAGTATACACCGATGGTATTCTGGGCGAGGATCCAGTTTTACATCACACGACAACTACAGAATAGAGAGGAAATGAAAGTGAATTTGGTCACCTGGTCGTTTCTCAAAACTACAAAGTGTTGGGGGCTGAAGAGAGACTCTAGTGGGCATGGAAAATATTCCTGGCATTCTGCTGTTACATCATTTGCTCTTTATATTTTTAGTCTATGAAGTCCAGGGGTTGAGTTGCTCTGGTGAAAAGGGAAAGGAAGGCCAACAAGTGTGTGTGTGTGTGTGTGTGTGTGTGTGTGTGTGTGTGTAGAAAAGACAGATAAAAAGGCAAGGTCTGAAGCGTACTCTTAGGGGTTCCGGGGACAGAGTCCCCTGGCCTTTAAAGTAGTTCTCTTAATACTGAGAATAAAAGTGGCAGGTCTGAACACAGAGGAGCCCAGTGTCCATGTGCATTAGGTGTTATTCAGTTGCTCCATTATATAACTATCGTCAACCCAAAGCTATTTTCACTTGACATTTTTTACATTTGTATTTACTGATAGGGTAGCACCATTATTCCTAAATCATTCTGTGCTTCTCTCTGAATCTGTGTGTGTGTGTGTGTGTGTGTGTGTGTGTGTGTGTGTGTGTGTGTATGTATGTGTGTGCATGCCCATGCCTCAGGACTAAACTACAAGAGTCACTTATGTGACTCTTTCATTCTACTTGCTATTTTGCAGTGCTGGAAGTCAAACTCAGGGCATGTGAGGCAAGTGCTTCCCTGCTGCGCTACACCCCCAGTCCTCACAGGACTGCTCTATTGCCAGTGTCTCAACACAATGTTTTCCTCCAGCGATGGCACTGATTGGTTCATGTTAGCACAGTATAATAGGCACTGGGCTGGGATGTCACGTACTAGGTTGTTCTCCCAGCGTCATTGTTAACGGTTCTCTGTTTTAGCAAGTTATTTTGCTTTCCTGTGTCTGTTCGTCTACAAAATAGGGCTATGTTACATAATGGCTAACATGTCTTTAAACTTTATGATACGAACATTTGAATAATGTTATTTTCCAGTGAATCTAAAATTTTATTTTGATTTAAAGGAAGACATATAAATTTAAGAAATGAATACATCAATTTATAGTGAATCAATTCTTTTTGATAACCTCTGAACAAAGAGCTGTTCCTTTTGTAACTAGAAACGAAACAGATTAGATTTTTGAGGCACTTTACAAAATACCTTTTTCTTTGTTTTTGAGACAGAGACTTGCTATGTAGTTCAGGCTGGGCTTGAACTCATCATATAGCCCAGGCTGGCCTCCTGGCTCAGTCTCAAGTGCTGGGATTATAGGTATGCACCACCATTCCTCGCCAAAATACACTGTTAACCAATCTATTTATTTGTATTGACATAATTATTCTAGTTTATTACATTGCTTAATAAAAGCATTTGTTTACTAGAAGCCACAATGCTTTAAAAGTGATTAATTACATCATGGTAAACACATACTTTTTGTGAATAAAATATTACACCCAATTGATGTTTCACTTCTGAGGATTTATCTTTTTCATTAAACATTGGGCAGCAGACTGTGGAGTTGAAGTGTTTCCCCTGTTTTCACTGAATAATTTGCTGAGCATAGTGATCACTCAAGGGTAAAACTGTATTATTTGCTCTAGTATATTTTAGTCTGTATACAAATGTCTGTGAGAGAGAATTAACTTAAAAAATTCTAGAAAATGAGAAGACCAGGCATAGACTGAGAGAAAAAAATTGTGTAGGACACAGCTGATAAAGGAATGTATTCAAAATAGTCAAATAATTCTTATAATTTAACAATATGAAAATAAATAATTCAATTTCAAAAAATGGATCAAGACCTGAACAAACGCCTTACCAAAGGAGTTATACAAATGGAAGATAAGCACACATATAAAAAGATGTTAAACATCATATGTCATCATGGAATTGCATGTTAAAACCATAAGGTTCTAGCACATGTTTATAAGAAGGTCAAAAGTCTAAAACACTTATGATACAAAATGCTGACACGGATGTGAAGTAAAAGCAACTCTGATGCATTGATGGTGGAAGTCAAAGACTGTATAGCCTCCTTGGAAGACTTTGGTGGTTTGCTATAAACACAACTTTCACCACACAACCCAGCAGTCATGCTCTTTGGCACTGATCCAGATGAAGTGAGAACCTATATGTACATAAAAGCCTGCACATGGATAGTTTCTTCCAAACTATCAACACTTGGAAATAGCTAAGATGTCCCTCAGTAGGTGAGTGTATACATAAAGCACAGTATATCCAGACAATGATACATTATTTAGCACTAAAAAAAGAATGAGCTATGAAAGAAAAATAAATATCACTATGAAAGAAGTCAATCTGAAAAGGCCACATTCTACATGATTCCAACTATATGGTATTCTGAAAATAATAGAATTATGGAGACGTAAAACAGTGGCTGAGGGGTTGCTGAGGGGGAATGCACAGGAAAAGTACAAGGGATTTTTAGGACCGTGGCACCTTTCCATACAATATTGTAATTACATTATACACTTATGAAGACCCATATACTATACAACACCAAGAGTGGACTGGTATGTAATCTACAGATTCTAGCTGATGATTCACCAGTGTAGATGTACCAGTTGTCACAAAGGTATCACTCAGGTGCCAGACGTTAACAGCAAGGGAGATTAGACATGTATACAAACAGGGTGTATATAGGAACTCTTTGTTCTTTTTGTTCAAATTTGTTATGAGCCTAAAAGTGCTCTAACAGTAAAATTTATTTATTAAAAGGCAAAATATTGTTTATTTTTTCCTTTGTCTTGCTCCTCTCACATAGAAGTGACCTTAAAGCGACTTTGAGAAAGGCTTTATAGGAGACATGATGTCTGAGTCTCACAACTATGGAATTCATCAAGCTAAGAAAGAAAATGGTGGTGGTGAAGAACGAATCAGGAAGAAGAAACACAGAACTAGGCAAGTAACTTCAGGGTCACTCTGGAAGCTGCACACAGCTTGGTATGGTCAGAGTGTGGGTTAGGAAGCTGGAGAAGAAAGACCTTGGGTAGAGGGCCTTCTATGCCCTTTTGAGGACTTTGATTTAATTCTGGTATCCTGGGAAGCACTAAAGGATTTTAACTGGAGATAGATTATTAGACAGACATCAAAGAGATGTAAGAAGAGACAGGATTAGAAGTCATTAAATATGCCACAAATTATAATACTAATAAATGTTGGGTCCCTCATTAAAACTCAGGCTTATTTGGCTTTAAAACTCAGGGGATATGGATGGCAGGATAGTTTGAAAAAACTGGTGAAGATGTGGAAGATTACAGTAAGGAAAAGATGGACAGGTAAAGCGAGCTTTGGTCCCTACTGAAGTAATAAGGTGACAATTAAAATAGGTATGTACTCTTCTTAGTTGTGCTTAGTGAGCTGGGAAGAAAAGTGAAGGACAAAGAGAGAGGACTAAGCCAAATTTGTAACATTTTTCCAGTGTTAAAATGGAAGGAAAAAAGAAGAGTTGAGACTACTAGAAAAAGTTGTGCGGTATGTTGTATGACACATATAACACATCTTTCCTAGATGAAGAACTTGTGAGTCAAAGGGACTTATGGATTGAGGAAAAAAGGTAGAGGTCACAGGAGAGAATTCGTACACTAGATTTCATGTCTGCTGGTGGGTAATGGGCCATTATTCCTATATGGTCTACCCAAATGGCAAACAAAGTTGGAGAATTCTGAGATGGAGCAGTTGGGATAAGGAAAACGATATGTATGCAAATTGCTGAGGTAGAAATACAGTAGAATCAGGGAGGTGACACCACTGATGGGCAAGGCAAGGCAGAGAGGAACACTGTTATAGAACTGCCAAAAACCTCAGTGTCTGTGGGAGGTTTGTGACAGTCAGTGACTGTGTGTGTGTGCTTGAGAATGTTTCAGAAGATTCAGGGAAGCAGGTTGGGACCGAATTACACTATGAGCTATACTATGAAAGCCAGATGGTGAGAAAACAGATGCCCAAAGGACATTCTGTGGCCCGGTTGACACACTTGAGGCCTGGGCAGTGCTGGAGGATGTATCTCAGCTGGGTCTGATTGATGGTCCCAAAGAGTGATTAAAGGAGGACTATCACACTAACTTTTTTGATAAATGCTAGAAGAGTTATGAGGCACTGTTTCTCTTAGTATACCACAGAGGGGCCTGTGTACATTTACCATATATGTCATCTGTCTAAACTTACCACATAATTTAAAAATTTATACATATGCTGGTGTGGACCAGTTTAAAAATTTTCCAAAGTTCTTTAGCCTAGTTTTATTTATTTTTTTAAAAAAATGTATGTATGTATATATGTATTTAATTATTTGTAGGAGTGAACTGAATGCCTGGGACTTCACAGTGAGCTACATTTTAGCCTTTTTAATTTTGTTGAAGTTTGAGACAGGGTCCTGCTAAATTGCCCAGGTCGGGCTAACTTATGGTCCTCCTGGCTCAGCCTCCCAGAGTGCTGGGACTGCAGTGTGCACCACCATGCACATCTAGTTTTAATGCTGTTTTTTTATTTTTATTTTTATTTATTTATTTATTTCCATAATTTTATTGAGAAACAAATAGCAATGAGACAGTTTCAAATCAA